GCTGTGCTGCTCCCAGCCCCATCTCATGTGTCCTCCCAGAGAGGCGTTCGTTATCACAGGAGAGTTAATTGCTGCTAATTTCTTAGAGCTGAAACTCTGCTGATTCCAGATGTCCAGGATTTCATCTCTTTTTTTTTTTAGGTTTGCACTGGGTTGGGCTCTTTTCCCCGGTGCTCCTGTGCAGGCTACGGCTGGGATGCTGACCTGGGCACAGTCATCCCCTGCGCAACAAGCACCAAACCCAGGGGTGTTCTCCTAAAAGCACTCCCCTGATTAGAAAGTGGGCTAAAATTGTACTTCTCCACTTAAAAATCATCCCTCAGGGACTGCTGCCTGTACAGCATGGCCCTGCATGAGCTTTCCCAGCCTGGTGGGAATGAAGTTGTGTGAGATTGAGCGCGATGCCGGAGCCTCACCTTGTCCGTCAGCGCGACCTGGCAGCCGGGCTGGGCCAGGAGGAGCCTGACGATGTTGGTGTTGCCCAGGCGGCAGGCCACCATCAGGGCCGTCCTCCCCTCCTCGTCCTGCAGGTTGACATCGGCCTGGCAGGAGAGGAGGGCTCGCACCATGTCATCCCGCTCGTGGCTGACCCCCAGCATCAGGGCAGTTTGGCCTCCCTGCAACCGCACAGGGGAGAGGCTGAACACCCCTTACCCACCGGCCTCCTGCAGTCCTCGTTCAGACTGCTACACATAATAGTAGTATCATTGCATATGTAAGAGTGCATGTTATTATTGCACAGTACATATCACAGTTCATATTGCATATTATTGCTAAATGACACGGGGATATTCAGCAGGCATTGCGAGAGAGCTGCTCCTTGCACCCCAGCCACGCAGCGGGTCTCTGCGGCGGCATGGCTAAAGCGCCCAGCTCCCCGCTGCTCCCGAGCGCGGGTCCCTCCCCGACCCTCCTGGCAGTTTAACTTGGGTCTGGACTAAGCTCACAGCTGTCTGGAAGACACGCTGAATGAGGGCACTAGCTCTGCGCCCACAAAGCGAGACACGGATGAGCCGCTGCTCGGCAGCAACCCTGAGCCAGGGCCTGTACCCCAGGGTGCACCCCGCACCGCTCCTCCGGCTCCCACTTCTGCAGACTTGAACTTTTAGCTCAGTGAAACTATTTTGAAAAATTTCCAACCTTTTGCTTCTTGATCTCATCCAGCTCTCGCATCCCTTCACAGGGAGCTGGTGGGTGGCCTTGCCGCA